CGAAATTCTGTTTACACGAGTTGTGGAAATGAAATCAAACTTTTTGTTCTCTAATAATAATAGGAAATCTTTTAATTGCTTTATTTTTTGACAAGGACAATTTTTTTTTTTGAAAAATGTTTAAGAATAAGGTGGACTATTCCATTTATTCCATTCACCGTAATAAGGGGGTGGTCCAAATTTGGGTGGTTTTATTCTTGGTCCCAATGGTCCAACATACCATGGTCTATATGGTGGTGCGGGTGGTGGGTAAATTCTTGGGGAATAAGACTCTTGTGGATCTAGAGCTAAAAAGAAAAATCATGTTTACTAAGGGAAAAATGAACTTTAATAAAAACTTACGTTCACGAGCAGTTACAAAACTTGACGCGACAAGTGAGAACAAAAATAACACAATTCCAAAAAACTTCATCTTGTTGTGATTATTTTCACAATTGTTTTATTTCGTTTTTGAATCGGCTTTTATATGAAAATCAAGTAATTATGACACAATTGACTCTTAAAATGCGTAAAAATCAGTCATAATAGTAAATATTCAAAAGCATAAAATCTTTAATAATCATAAAATTTTGATATAAAGCTAACTTTATTTAAAAAATCTAATGCAGAAAGCAGAAAAGACATTTTTAACTGTTTTAGTATTTTTTTATTTATCACATTATTTAAATAACATAAAAGAAAAAATAACAATAAAATAATTGATAAATTGAATCTTAAAGATCGTAAAAAATTGGCATAACAACAAATTTTACAATAAAATAATAAATTAATTTATTCAAAAAACTTATCAGGGTGTCCCAATGAAAACGAGCCACCCCAAATATCTCAGAAACTAAAAAGACTTTGCAAAAACGCCGAAACATTTTTTGACGTAATTTTTAAATCACCCCCAGTAACCCTTTAACCCCACGCACCCCAACTTTAAAAATTTAAATAGCACTATCCTACTTGAGACACATCAAATGAAAGCTGTTTTAACAAGCTTTTCAAAACTTTTTACTAAAATTCAATCAAACCATCCATTCATGAGATACAGGGTGTTCTAATACAAATGAACCAGAAAAAATTTGCAAA